TCTGCTATTCGGCCTGCCCAGTGTGGTCTGCCCGTTTGGGGCCCGGCCGGGGTCGCGATGAAATGCTGGCTGGGCCTGCGTGGGCGAGCTTACTGAGCATCGAGCATGTCACACAAACAATATCGCATGGTTACTGAAGAGCCAACTCAAATACCAATGCAGTAACAGCATTTAATGCATTGCGGGAGTTTCATCTGCCATAAGTTTGAAATTAAGCGGATGAACGCAGCTCTCTCCCTTTGAGGTAAAATAGGTTAGAACCGTGTCTCCCTAAAGTACAGCTGGCCCGCATTTTGAAACGAGGGGGAAAGAGCATTCTCAACAGAAGGGCATCTGTCTGAGCGTATGTGGGGAAAGGTTGTTCTGAAATGATCAGTGGAGAGTGGTAATTTTGTCTTTGACATTGACTGAAATGCATATGTTTTACCAATGGAATTTTGGTCCGTCGAGATTGTGCGTGTGCGTATGAACGGATTGTGATAGTCACACACACACACACACACACCACACACCCCACACACACACACACCACAACTCCCACACACACACCACACACAACCACACACAAAACACACCACACACACAACACCCACACCACAACACACACACAACAAACACACACACAAACACACACACCACACACACACACACACCACACACACACAACACACCACAACACACACACACACACCACACCACACACACACACACGCACACACACACACCACACACCACACACACACACACCACACACAACACACCCAACACACACACCCACAACACACACACACACCACACCACACACACACACACACACACACCACACCACACCCAACACACACACCACCCAACACACACCACCCCACACACACACACACCACACACACCACACCACACACACACACACACACACACATGTAGATATATATATATATCTATAATTATATATATATATATATATATATATATATATATATATATATATTGCAGGCGCAGCATTCGTGTGAATACATTCCCAACACACTCAAATGATCCAAACATTCAGTTTTCAGCATGATTGAGAGGCGCAACTGCACCCTTCAGCTTAACAAAACATGTGTGTGTTTATACGAAATTGTTTTAAATTGTCAGTTGTCCACCCGTTATTGTTGTGGCTGCGCACATGAGCTTCATATAGTTTGGAGACATTTTCAATGCATCAGTCAGTCGAGGCCAAGAGGCATCTTCCGGGGGCTCTTATTCGTGAATTCTACGGTCTCCTTAGGCTTCTTGGTTTGTAAATCTAGCCAGGGCGATCTGAACCAGGAGCTGAATTCAAGGATGTTTTAATTCAGGTAATGAGTGATGGTTAAATGTTGCGTGACACTCAGAGATCATTTAAGATTCAGCGCCCAGGACCGCCTGGACGGCGCAATAAATCGGAAAGGCCTTAGCCCTTCTCTTCATATTGTCATGCCGTGCGTGCAGTCGTTCCTCTCTGCATACGTGATCATTAAGCAGGGGGGGGGGGGGGGGAGGGGCAATTGCTGCCTAGCAATGATTGC